ATTACTGGATATGAATGCCATTCAAATGTTATGGCATTTCACCAGTTTAGGAGTCAATTGAATGTAAAACACATCATTGTTTTAGGTGCTGAAAAGAAAGTGGGGAAATGCCTCCAGAAAAATCATGACAGTTTTTCCATTTAGATTTTTTATTTTATACTGTTTGCAAGAGATCTTTTTTACACTACAAATTCTAATCATCTATCATTTTGAACTGTCTTTATAACTTTCTACATACCAATAACTTTCTGTTTCAATGTTGATTCACAGAATAATATTACTAAAGACGTACTGAACAACTATTTGTTCACACCCTCAACTAAAGTGCTAACAAAATGAACTGTTAGGCTGATGTTTGTGTATGTCCAGGCAAACAATAGGACTGCTAACTTGCTGACAGCAACTGTAAGATGACATCAAGAGTAACACAACTCAAATTCATATTTTTAAAATAGGAAAGACTGATTTTTAAGCTGATGGAATACCAATCTTTGAAAAGATGGACAATAATCCATTAAGTTAAAAAATCTCCGGCTATCCTGATGCCACCAACTCACAATTCTTTCTGCCTTTCTATGACACAATGTACAACAGCCATTTCAACTCATCATTCACCCAACCAGGTTAGAGCAGTCAAATTCTTTACTACTACTTCCTGGTTCACTCTTAACTCTCTCTCCACCATTTATTCTCAACACTACAAGAGTAAATTCTAAAAGCAAAGCCAGATCTTATCACTCCCTTGACTAAACAATAGAATGATTTTTCTCTTGTTCTCTGAATAAAACTGCTGCACTTCGTGCAAAGACAGTTGATGGCAAGAGCTTTAATTCTTAGAGCGCATGGAATAGTGGGTATAACAGTTATACCCACTGTTATTTCCCTGGTGCTTTCCACATGGTTATGACCCAGTAAGTATCTGATGAGTGGAATGAATGAATCTGGCCCCAGCTCTCTTCTCATCTCACACCAGGCTTTCCCTTAAACAGTATGCTTTTGCGTTTCTTGCCATTCCCTCAAAACTCCTTACGATAAAGCCTTTGAAACTATTAGCCCTTCTTCATGAAATGATTTTATCCAAATGCTCAACAAGACTGGCTCCTTCTTTCTTCATATCCCCACTCAAAGGACACAGCTCAAAACTGCTTACCCTATTTACAGAAATCCCCTCCCTCAACATAATTAAACACCACTCAATTCATTTATTCCATCTATAATTATTACTTTACTGTTTCCTACCACATTTTTAAGTTCCAGAAGGACACAAACCATGTGTTCTGACGTGAAAGGTATACCCAGTGCCAATGCCAAGATAGAATACATATTAAAGGCTAAAGGAAACACCAAGTGACTCCAGTATTTCACTGTTTTGGAAATAATCTAGCCATGTGTTGCAAAGTTTACTGCAAATTATCACTTTAACTTTTGTTAATGTACTTTTTAACATACACAAAGTCTTTTAAGATTCTTGCTATATCAACAAAAGATTCTTTCCTATCTAATGTAAGCTTTTGTTTATATTTTCTTCTAGCATGTATGTGTATACATGCTAAGCATCTCTTTATTTTAGTTGGAATTTAATTTGACACAACTACATAGCTGTTTTTCAAGTGAATATTCATGTAAGAAATATGTATCATTTATTTAAAACTCATTTCTGGGTTCTCTTCTGTTTCATTGATCGACCTACTGTTTTGCCAGTATCACACATTTTAGTAACACTGAATTTAAAATATATACATTATGATCTTCTAGGCAGGTATACCTGTATTGTTCTTTGAGAAAATAAGTTACAGCATCATTTGGGCATGTTTCAAGGGCATTTCAGAGATAGAGTTATAGATTTGGGGGAAAGTGACATCTTTATATTAATGTTCCCATCTACAATGTAGTAAAAATATTGCCCTATCTTTTCCATTACCATTACTAATATTATTTACTTATTTTTTTTAATTGAATTGTACTGCTTAACACTTCCAGAGTAATCTTAAAAACTGACAAATACACCTATCTCTGACCTCTTCCTAACTTCAACTGGGTGCTACTAGCATGAGGCTATTAGTTTAAAATATGTGTTTATGACATACATTTATTGTGTTAATATTTATTTAAATCATGCTATAAAAATATCATTCAATTCTTATTGGCCTAATTTTTTAATCACCATTTGTAACATTTTAGCTAATGTTTTTGAATAATTGGTCTATGACCTAAAAATCTTGAATGAATTTCTACAAGATCCTTGATAATGTTTCACCTTGAATATTTGGTCTGTAATCTAAAAATCTTGAAAAATCTAAAGTCTCAGCACTATGAAGCTATCAGCAGCCACTGCAACATGAGTTCAATCCTCAGCCAGGGAGCTGATCCACATGGCGCAGCAGATCTCTCCTGTCTTGCCCGCTGCTCCCCTCAGCAGTGTACTTCAGTACATTTGCCTGTTCTGGTCCCCACTCTATCTCTAGTAAATCCTCTCACTCCCTGCACTTCTGGCCTACACCTCAATCTGATATGCAAAAATAAATAAATAAATAAATACTCTTTTTTAAAAATAAATAAAACAGGACAGTTTGGCTACTTGGAAAGCATAATGTGTACATAGCCACAGATTAATCACAAGAATATGCTATATGCTGTTGGGAGGATAAACTAGTCTAATCGTTCTGCAAAATGAGATTATTCAACATTTCAAAAGTACACACACCCTTTGACTTAGCAAGTTCATTTCTAGGAATTTATTCCTAAAGAAAAAAATTATGCAAAAGGATATATGGTGAAGGATATTCAGTGAAGCATAGTTTTATAATACTAAAAAATTAACAGTGGTATAACTTTTCAAAGTAAGATATATTCAAATAAAAGCAATGGAACGCTATAATTTCATTTGAAAAATATAAAAATCTACATGTACTGATAGAGAAAGATGGTAAAGGCAAGTTATTTAAAAAAAAACAACAGGTGACATTCCACTATGTTTTGCTACATTATCTACTAAAGTGTTCACTTGCTACATACAAATACTTAAGTTTAAATCTGATTAATTAAATTTAATCTTCAATAAGTTATATTTAAGTAAAATTTAGAATTAAATCCCTCGGTCACACTAGCCACATTTCAACTGTCCAACAGTCACAGGTGACTAGTGGCTACATATTTGGAAGAGCAAGTACAGAATGCTTCTACCATCGCAGAAAGTTCTATCAGACAACACTGGCGTGCAGCATTTTACCTTTCAAAGGGAAAGAAATATAGAAATAATGAATGTTTACACAATAAAAACTGGTACCATAAACATACCAAAAATTAATACCTAATATTGGCTTTTTGCTAATCTGTTTCTTAATTTTACTATAAAAAGCTACACTGGAACTCCTGTATGATAAAATCATGTTTTAAAAAAACATTTTCTCCTTTAAAAATAAAATGTCCTCGGGCCTCCCAGGTGGCGCAGCGGTTGAGCGCTGGGTTGCGAAGCTGCCCGCGGCCTCTGCGGCGCCGGTTCGATCCCCGGCTGCTCCCCGGCCACCAGAGGAGGGTCCCACATGGCGCGCAGACCTCTCCTGCCGCCCGCTGCTCCCCTCAGCAGTGTACTTCGGTCCCTCTGCCTGCTCTGCTCCCCGCTCTGGCTCTGGTGAATTCTCTCGCCCTCCCGGCTTCTGACTGTACCCAGTGCATGTATAAACCAAACAAACAAACAAATAGATAAATAAGACATGCCTCTAGAAAATTAAAAAAAAAAAAAATAAAAAAAAAAAAAAATAAAATGTCCTCGTTGCAAATAAAAATTGCAGATTTTTACAAAAAGAAAAATTATGGAACAAACATAAATTTAGTTAAGTATTCTTTATTTTTTTTTTTTTTTTTTTTAGAGGCATGTTTTATTTATTTATTATTTGTTTGTTTGTTTTGTTTATACATGCACTGGGTACAGTCAGAAGCGTGGGAGGGTGAGAAAATTCACCAGAGCCAGAGCGGGGAGCAGAGCAGGCAGAAGGACCGAAGTACACTGCTGAGGGGAGCAGCGGGCGGCAGGAGAGGTCTGCGCGCCATGTGGGACCCTCCTCCGGTGGCCGGGGAGCAGCCGGGGATTGAACCGGCGCTGCAGAGGCTGCGGGCAGCTTCGCAACCCAGCGCTCAACCGCTGCGCCACCGGGGAGGCCCTAGTTAAGTATTCTTTAAAAGCTGCTGTTTTGCTGCTTTGGGGATATTCCATTTTTCAATCTCTTTCCTCATTTAATTTTAAAAGGAATTGTTCAGATTGGCCCCACCATAGTTCTAAGGGTTTTTCCCCCTACCTAACTGCAAAAGTTAACTGAAGTCTCTGACCATTTATAGAGAACTATGGCTATCAATTTATTTGAATTCAATGTAAGATGAATGCTTCATTTTCCATAATGAAACATTACTTAGAAGACTGAAAAAATTATCAATAGTTATCAGCTCAAGTCTGAGTTTCCTCTCTGAAAAATAAGTAACCATGTGTACTATCATCTTTCTCACTGTGCCTCCATGGTAGCAAATGACTTTTATTACCTGTCTTTTACAACAAGGCAATGGCTTCCATGGAAACCATAAGGCAAACAACTTTAACTGTTGCCAAGTACCTTATAAGCATACCTAAACTAAATTAACTGCTACTTTCTCTTATTAATGTACTTAAATTGAGCAACAGCTACTGACTCTGATTCTGTTTTTGTCTCTATGAACAACTCAAAAGATGGGTAACAAACCAGAAAAAGTCTGTACCCCTCTAGCAACAAAATAAGTCTATAATAACCAGGGGGCCAAAAAGTTACCAAGCCAGCATATATACCAATCGATGTCATCTCATATAAGAGAATAAATTCAAATAGAAGTTAATAAAGCACCAAAATACCAAAGAAGAAATTCCCTTCCACCAGCTTAGCAGAACATATAAATTTACCAAGATTAAGACACTCACTAATCAGGGGAAAAAGGATAATCAATAAATCCTAACAACTGAAGAAGTGGTCACTCACCTCTCTCAACATATTGTTCTCTTTTTCCTTCTGCTCCAAAAGGCTTTCTAGGTGGTGGACGTGCATCTCTGCTTCTGCCAGGCGTCTCGTTCTCTCATGGTCTTCCTCAGTGGCTTTAGCAGAAAGTCCTTTGCTCTGCAACATCTCTAGGAGTTTCTTAATGGATTCATCCCTCGCATTTAGGGTTTGCTTCTGGGTCTCGATACGAAGCTCCATTTCCTCCAAGGTCTTTCGGAGAAGAAACAGCTCTTTGGCCTGCCGCTCATGCTCAGTGTGTAGCCTTTGAAAGTTCTCCTCTGTCAGCTCTGCTACACAAGGCTCACCAGTCCTAGTGCTACTATCCTGCTGAAACAGCTGGTTCAGGTCCCTTTGGATCCGCAATTCATCCTGGAGAGCCTGGATTGTCATTTGCATGTGCTAGAATCAAGACAAAAAAGAAAACCTCAAATCAACTTTCCTCCTAACGCAGTAAAAACAGCAGGTTGAGGGGAATAAGATAACAGCTACCAGTGCTCAGAACCCTACATTTAGTAACTTAGAATTCACATTATTGTTTTAAAATATGATTGAAATCATCACTTTTCGGCCTTTTGGCTAAGATCAAGTGTAAAAAATTATTGAAATCATCTGTAAAATGTAGGTAAATTATATTTAGTCTCAGTAGGAAATAAGTATGACAGCACCTCACTCTACATAAGCCATGACAAAATAAAGACACTTCGAAATTAGAAGGTATTATATAGAAATGAAGGAGATGGAAGGGGGAAAGAGAGGAAGAACTTACAGGAATATAAGCACGGTCATACAAAAAGATCTCACCAAAAATGACAAAGGCTGTCAACACAAATTACTTCTAAGACTTTTATGATTAAATGTATACCCTAAATAATAAATTCTGATATTTAGTAGTTAGTAGTCTCTATCTACCAGACTGTGCCAGGCACTTTTTGGTGTTAATTCATTCAGTGCACACTGTGACACAAGTATTACTGTTTTTATTTCAATGATGATGACACTAGGCTGAGAGAGAATTTACTAATTTACTCAAGATAACACAGTAAAGTGCTAGCATTCAAATCAAAGCAATTTCCCCAGTCCACTGAAACTAGTATTACCCAAAAGTGATATTATAACTGAAAGCTGTTTAAAAAAAGACAATGTGAGCTTTCCATACAGGGGAAGATAACAACATAGGTGGGTATCAAGAGAAGATGCTGATGCAGATAAAAACCATACCCAATACTTCAGATCCAGCTGATTATTTTAGTGAACTCAGAACATCTGCTTTCGATTTCTATTACACAATCCTCCAACCACCTGCCATCAATCCATCTTTTTCAAGTGTTTTCTTATCCTACCTATTTTGTCTTGTTATCTCCCTATTACGGATAAATGTTTTCAGATTTAGGATATTATTGAAACAACATTTTCTTCACACTTCCACTGTATCTACCTATTATTCTTTATTATGTTACTCTATACCCATAAGGCTTTAAGTTGGTTTGAATTTGTCTCCAGTAATTTTATCCATTGAGCTCATTCATACATTTCTGGCCTCAAAAGAAATGACATGTATTTGTGAATGTCTGAACAAAAACTTAATAAAAAGTACCAGGGTCTGTATAAACCATAAAAATCTTCATGATGAAACCCAAGATGCTAGCCTCATTTAGAACTCTATCTACTTACTCAAATCACATCTTCTGTATATATGACTGCCTGGATGAGCTACTAAGCAAATCACTTGCCCTCCCCAGTGTAGTGGCAGGATGGCCACAGGGCAGGACCTCTATGATCCAAGCAGATGAAGTAAAGGAGGAATCCTGGAGCCCTCAGTGGCTTTTCAGGCTTTTATTGGGATTTACCAGGTAAGGGGCAGGCAGGGATGCTGGTGGAGGTGGGGAGGCTGGCAGGCCTCCCAGCCCCAGCAAGTCTTCACCTCTTCGGCCGTTTTCTAGTGGCCTTTTCTTCTCTGCTCCTTTCGCTCTTTCGTTCTCATCTGCTCTCAGCTCTTCTGGTTCTCTCATGGTTCTGCTGGCATCCCCATGAGCCGCCCTTAGAAGTCCAGTTTTAGCCCAGGTGTACCCACTTACGCATGCCCACACCCCACTCCAGGTGCCCGCCATCAGGCATGCATGCAGGACCGCAGAGATCCATCATCAATCCTAATGGCAGGAGGGCAGAAAAGCCTGATACTTTTTCACTTACCCTACACCCAGCCTCTTTTTTTTTAAAGATTTATTTATTTATTTATGCGTGCAAGAACTGGGGTACAGGCCAGAGGTGTTGGGTTGGGGGTGAGAGAATTCACCAGAGACAGAGTCTTTATCTTTATAAAAACATTGGATATGGATATATCACTTGTCAAACTGCTCAGAGCCTATTATATATTCACCAACTCCCACCTTCTGTTTCAAGCACGACAGCAATCTCTTTACTTATTTATTGAGGATTTCACTTAAACTAGAGATTCTCAACCTTAGTAATCACATATTAGGATAACTTGAGACGGTTGTGAGAAATTCCAAAATCCAGAGCCGTTCCCAGAGGTTCTGATTTTTTTTAAAAAAAAAAAAAGATTTATTTTATTTATTTATGCATACAAGAACTGGGGTGTAGGCCAAAAGTGCAGGCAAGACTGGTGAGCAATGTGGGTCAGCTCCCTGGCCGGGGATCAAACTCATGCTACAGTGGCTGGTGATACCTGATAGCTTTGAGAGTTGAAAAAAAACAAAAACTGTCTTATTATTTTTTGATTGACCTGCCATTAAAAATTCTTTTTTTTTTAAGATTTATTTATTTATGTATACAAGGCTGGGGTGCAGGCCAGAGATGGCCTGTGCCATAGATTTTTAGAACATAAGTATTATGATATCTATGCCACAGTTTCAAGCAGAATGTTCCTAAGAATTTTCAGTTACAACAGAGGGGCAACAGTTCAACTGACTAAACTTAAGAGCATGGAGGATAATTGCAAAAGAGGAGAGACAACCAGACAAATGATGACACTGTAACAGAGATATCTCTATAAAAAGTGGAGGTGCCATGTTCCCTGCCCCACCTACTGAGGGGTGGAGCTGAACGGCCAGGTTAAGTCATATAACACGAAGGTTGGTGAGCCCTAGGAAGACATGAGAGAAGAGAAATGGAAGAGGGACAGGGGGAGAAGGGCTTGCTTGCTTCTCAGATCTCCACTTGCACTAGGGACTTGGGGGACTTGGAAAATACACATGGAGGAGAGACCTGTAGGACACTTGGGGAGGCTGACAAAGGCAACTGTTGTCTTGATTTGTTCTTTGATTTTGCTCCTTTTGTTCTTCCAGGCTTGACTGGCCCTTTCTGCCTCTTTCCTATGATTGCCAGTTGAAACATGCCTTAGAGTTGTGGCAAATTTTTGGGCCTCAGTGGCACCGCTTCAGGTAAACCCTGTTTGACTGGGCATTTACCCACAAGTGGATGGCTAACTTTGAGTGTTTTATTGGGAAACTAGTACCCTTTCTACCTTTCTCTGTACACACTAATGCTATTAAAGTTCTTCTATACTAAGTATGCTTTGTCTTTGTATGCATGGATGGCTGGAATCCTTTAGATCACGAAAGGATCCTTTAGATCCTTTAGATCTCTCTCCCAGGTGTCCAAACACTAACAACATGAAAAGTAATTAATTATAAATGAAAATCAAAGAACATGAAAAAAGAATATTAAAGGAAAGTCTTGCATGTGCTAATTTCAATGAGAAAAGGCTGGAATTTTTATTATTTTTTTTTATGCTCTCCTTAGCATTTTCTTTCATAGGAGCATATCAAAAAAGAAAACTACAAGTGACCTGAGCAATTAACCAATTTTATATTCATGAAAAAGAAAGTCTTTTAATTTAATGCAACCTAACTTTTTTCACCATCATGTAGTTGCAATTTTAAGCAAACAGGAAAAAATCAATGACTATCAGGGTTTGGTAATTCATTTGCAGTAAAGGCACTGACCTAAGACAAAGATAACAAAAAATATCAATAAACACCCAACTGCAGGAGTACATTATATAGCAGCTCAGTTATCTTCTCTTTAAGTAAAAAAAAAAAAATTGTCAGGGTTAGGCACAAAGTTAGGAATTATATGAAACATTTAGTAGACGAAAAAGTCTGAAAAGAAGAGAATTTTAAATGAGTTAATTAAAACCTAGAACAGGATTTCTTTTCCTCACTTAATTGTTTAAAAAGGCAATTTTCAATCCTTAGGTTCTTTCACTACAGATACACTATTAAAAAAGCACATAGATAATAAATATATTTTAGTAAGGGGACATTATGTACAAAGAGTGAAATACTTTAATGCCTCAATGTTGTAATATTTAAAACTCAGTATGCTAGCAATTTTAAACCCATTAATTCTTTGGTTTTGTTTATAAAACAAATTTTATAGTTTGTGGTACAATCTTCAGACACACTGAGGAGAGGCCATAGCAGTGTTGGAAGACTGTTATGAAGAGAAAGACAAAATATTCAAAGATAATGACAGTCAAGTTTCTTACTGTAGAGAAAGGTAAATAGAAATATGGGGTTGGAGAGTGGTGGGGAAACTAGAATATAAATCCTGTGGTGTCGGAATAAAATTGAAAGTATCAATGTGAACTCACTGCATAATATAGAGAGATATTATAAATGTGTGCATACACCCTAGCTCTATTCCTTGAGAGGGACTGGAAACAGTAAAATATCAAGAGCAATGAGCACAGCTGAAATTCAGATCTTAGCTTCTAAATATTTTCCACTGAAAGCAACCAAGATTCCTTAAAGAAATGGCTGACTCCAAGCTGAAGCATGGAAATTATATGGTAACTCTAGAACCTGTTATGCCAGAAAGAAAAGTGCTCTAAGAATAATGAGATTATATCAAACAGACACAGAGTAAGCATGAATAGGTCCCAAGTGACACCTAATTCTAGGGCAAACTGATCATCAAAACAATTAATGAGGGTTACACCCAACCTATTGAAAAATCAGGAACCTGTTAGTCCATACAAACTGTGATTTTGTGATTTGTAATTAGAAATATATACCTGGGTTTTATGGGACAGAGCTCCCAAAACCTTTGGAATTTCCTAAGAACAGCTAGCAGAGATGTCTTTTGTTATGCTAATGACTTGGTTTGGGGAAAACACTTAATGGGGTTTGGAAAACCAATGTGATTTAGAAAACTGGAATTTTCAGTACCACCCATCTCCCATCCGACCTACAAGGAAGGGAGAGAGACTGGACGTTGAATCAATTACCAATGGCCAATGACTTGCTCAGTCATGCCCATGTAAGGAAACCTTTAAAATCCAAAAGGAGAGGTTTCTGAGCACTTCCAACTTGTTATACAAGTAGAGGTACCAGAAAAGTGGCACACGCGATGCATAGAAATTCCAAACTCCTTCC